ATTAATTTGATAATATATAAATTATTTATTAATTATTAATCATTAAATTAAGTTAAATAAAAACAAATTAAAACCACAATCCTATTTCCTCTCCGACTTCCTCCCTCTCTCCCCTCTCCCACATCCTCCCTCTCTCTTGTTTTCGCCCTCTCCCTCTCTCCCTCGCTTATGTCACTCTCCTCCTGGTTTCGCCCCCAAAAACCATCGCCTTCCTGAGCGAAAACCTTCGCGATACAGTCCATTATAGCTCGGTGGGAAGGAAACGTAAGGAAACGGGCGGATCGCGGCTTACAGAAACCACCGAAACTCCCATCTTTCTCATCCTTCCTCTCCGTTCCTACCAGAAACCATTGAGGAAGGTAAGCCTGCTCGCGCCATTCCTCCTATTTGCTCGTTCCGGATTTACTAATTCCACTCACAGGATTTAGTAAATCTCGTATTTATTGCGAATCGGTTTGATATTTACGGGAGCTCAGGATTTACGGAGGCTTTTTTTGCTGTTCGGCAGGATTTAGCTTAAATCCTGCATAAATCCTGCTTAAAGCCGGCTACCAAACAGCCTCTCAACGTCCATTGGCTGCAAGTAGGATTTAATTCTACTAGGATTTAGACGGTGTTTGGCTGCAACTTATACGTTAAATATTATTTATCAAATCCAATAAATCTGGATTTATCAGATCAACAACGCTATGACGAGGAGCCTGCGAGCGACGGTGGAATAAATCTGGCTTGCATTTGGATTTACTAAATCCGGATTTACATCTTAAAATTGTCGGAATTGTAGAAGAGAGGCAGGATGCGAGAAAGTAGGATTTAAGGGAGGGTTGGATTAAATTTTTTTTAGTGTTTGGCTGGATTCAAGATAAATCCATGGTTGAATCTTTAGTAAATCCGATACATCTAGATTTATCAATTTTTGAGGTGGTTAAATTCTGAAATTTTTTTGACATGCTAGTTGATAAATCCTAATAAATTCTTACTAGCTCTTTGATAACTTTATTAGTTGGTATATAATTTAACATTAAAACATGATGAAAATTTTATGACTACTTACATTTGAATTGATTTTTTAATGATTACTTGCAAGTTGCAACAATTATTAGTTTGAAATCATGCTAAGATAATTATTTGTTAATTATAAATTTTCTATGATGATTACTAATAAATTAATACAAGCATCATTAACATCACCAAAGAAGAATTTACAAAAAAAAATGCATATTAGTTGAGCTCTACGATTTTGAAATATATATGTCAAAATATCTTAATTACAGGAAATCCGAAAAGCCTATAAAATTATTAACATTGGTTCAACTCTAATTCGAGCTATGATTCTCTCTTCACCTTCATTTGATACAATCTAGAATGTAGTTATTATATAACAATGATGTAATCTTAAGATGACATGACCATATACGACATCTGGATGGTGTGAGAGGTGCAGAGCCAAATTGAATGATGCTCCTTGTGGTTTCTGTCTAATTTTCAAGACATTTCCTTTTATCCTTCCCTTCTTCTAGTCATTTCCTATATCTGTCTTGTATTAGTGTTTGGATTGACAGTTTTTCGTGTGTTTTGTTCGAGACAATCACCGACGCCTTAGGTTTACCCATCTACGACTGTAGCAAAGGTTCAAGTGATGCTTTAGTTGTATCTCGCTTTCGAGGTGGTGATTATCATTTTCTCTAGCCCTCCACATACTCCTCACAGCCGCCCACAATAGTGCGTCTTTGCTGTCTACCTACAGTTCCAGCCGTATTGGCCACTCCCTCCCTTTTCTACTCGCTGCCACTTCCTGAAAATCACTGCAACTGTTGTTATACCTTGTCTCAACTCCTCAAAATAACTACCCATTGTTATTTCTGCCTTCCCAACCACTTCTCCCTTTCCTTCGTATTGCCATCAACCCCAAACCACCCGCTCCTTTGCTGCCACTGCTACGGAAAGCCCTTCTGCATCAATTCCTGCCACTTGCTTGCTATCCGAAACCTTGGGAACGATAGCCTTGCTGTTTCTGCTTGCATCCCACCCCTTTCCACCACCCAACCACCTTCCAGACCTTTATAGACTACCTCTACCACCCCTTTGATCCAAACATAGCGGGAGTTAGTGTTGTGTTTGTTACAATTTCATATTCCTACTTGTGTGGTTGTAATTTCCTATTTGATTTTAGTAATAATTATCAGAGTTAGTCTAACCTTAGTTCTATCGTACAACTGTTAAATCACCCCGTTGAATATTCTCACCTTCCACTCAAACCACACCTTCATACTCTTCCACGCCCAAACCTAGATTCGAAGTCAGAGCTAGTCTAACCTTAGTTCTATCATACAACTGTTAAATCACCCCCTTGAATATTCTCACCTTCCACTCAAACCACCCCTTCATACTCTTCCACGCCCAAACCTAGATTCGAACCATGCCACAGAGGAGACATTTGTTGGAAACCTGATCTGAAGGAAATGACACAATGTCGCTTATTAGAAATCCGCGGTGATGCCCAAGAACTTTTGAGGAAAGAGGTTTGTCGTCATCGAGAAGAGACAATCTGAATGAGTCACTCGTAGCTACAACAGTGATTCGTCATATCAAAACGATGAAGCAAGCCCCTTCCATAGAGCATTTTATGGAGAACTAATACTTCAGAGATTTGACATAAAATTTCTGAGAAGTCATAATTTTGGAGTATATGGTGACTTATCATATTTTGATAACCAAATGGATCCGGAAGAGTTCATGAGTGGCTTCAAACAATAAAATGTGTCTTTGTGTACCAGAATGTCCCATCGAACAAACGGGTAAAGTTAGCTGCCACCAAGTTAAAGAAGAGTGCTTTGATATGGTGAGAAATTTTGAAGCACCTACAACAACGAGAAGGGAAACATAAAATCATTACCTGGTTTAAGATGAAACGAGAGATGCGTTGTAAGTACCAACAATTTATTACATATTTGACATGTTCTCGAGGCAATATCACAGGATGGCCGCCACATATTATAAACAGAGTTTAATCTCATGATCGAGCAATAAGAGTCCAACTTTGATATGGTGAGAAATTTTGAAGCTCCTACAGCAACGGGAAGGGAAACATAAAATCATTACCTAGTTTAAGATGAAACGAGAGATGCGTTGTAAGTACCGACAATTTATTACATATTTGACATGTTCTCGAGGCAATGTCACAGGATGGCCGCCACATATTATAAACAGAGTTTAATCTCATGATCGAGCAATAAGAGTCCACGGTCGAGCATCCAAGCCGACCCCGTATGAGGAGAAATTAAAAGCGAAGAACAGGTGGAGCCGAACAACATTCTCAAATCCATCTCAGCCAAAAAGTGCCTGAAGTGTCATGATTTTTGGCGCAGTGCATCAAATTGCCTAAATAAGAGTATTATTTATTTCACTTAGCATGGAACAATTGAAGAAATGAACGAGGACACAGTAGAAACTGAAGAAAATGATGGAGAGATGCACGTCATTCAAGTTGAGCCTATGAGAAAGACTCCAGTAGGAATAACATTGGTTTTCCAAGAAGATCATGAGTTTGAGAAACTAACACCAAACACATGACAACCTTAGAGAATTTTAGAGTTTTTAGATATATAATTTACCTCCTAAGTTGCTCATATTGAGAAATGTCCAACATATCAGAGATGAGAAGCAATTGAGTCACTTTTGAAAGATCATATGAAGTCATTTGGGTATTAAATTCAGTTCAACATTGTACTCACAGACAGGTGGTCAGAGAGGAGGGATGAACCACAAAGTTGGAAATTGTCATAGGAGCTTTAAGGGAAGGAACATCCTACATTGGGATCCAAGTCATTCCAGAGAAGAATAAGAGGCATCTTCTAAGTGGGTGCTATTGAAAATTACGTAGTCTGTCACATCAATCCAGAGTTAGGGTGTATTTGGGGTAGCTTGTGCTTATCATGAAAAGCGGCCCGCGGGTGGCCTGCGGGGCTCAACCCGCAACCTGCGTTTAGTGTAAAAACCCAACTACGTTTTTGGATAAGTTGCCGGAACGTGCTTTCCAAACTGTGAGACGGCATTTTGAAAATGCCGCACGTACTTATAAGCTGCCCCAAATGGGCCCTTATTTTCTTCGGACAAATTGGTTGATTGGATGCACTATGTCGAGTACGAGAAGTGGAAGAGACAAATTACAAACTTAATCGTGCAGGAGTTACTTTGTGAGAATCAATATCTAGATGTAACTTCAGCTCAGGTTGTGTCAAAAGAGGATGTGTACTTATTATATTAGGATGTGCTTTGAAATAAAAATGCCCATGGGATCAACTTAACGAGAAACTATAACATTTTTGCGATCCTCAACATGGCCGTTCTGTCGCCATATTACAAGGTGATAGAAGCTTCTACGGATGAAGTTGAAGCTTCCTCAATCCGGGAGATTGATGCAGGCTCTCACGCTGCCGAGTCGGACACGACATCCAGATTGTGCGAGCGGTGCAGAGCTGAACTGAACACCGCTCTCTTTTCAATATTCAACACGTTTCCTTATATATATATATATACATATATATATATATATACATATATATATATATATATATATAGAGTAAGAGCATTAGAGCTTGGTTTGACAATTTTTCATGTGTTTTTTTCGGCACAATCACTTTACTCTCAAGAATTTTCTTTCTAGTGTTGTATTCAAGGGTCAAGTGGTGCACCATTCGTATCTCGCTCCTGAAGTGGTGATTATCCTTCCCTCTATCCCTCCACATCCTTCCCACACTGCCCCTTGTTGCAGCCACCCATAATAGCGTCTCTTTGCCGTCTACTTACAATTCCAGTCGTACTAGCCTCCTCTCTCCATTTTCTACTCACTGCACTCCCAGATAATCACTTCAACTATTGTTATACCTTGCTCTAGTTCCACGAAACATCCGCTCATTGTTGGCGAAACATCCGCTCATTGTTGTTCTTGCCTTCCTAGTGGCTCCTCCCCTTCCTCATTGGATTCAGCCCCAAACCACCCACTCCTTTTGTTACACTGCTCCAGAGAGTTCTGCATCGATTCTTGCTGTCCGAAATCTGGTAAATAGCCTCCTTGCTATTTTTGCTTGCATATCACCCCTTTCCACCACTCAACTACCTTCCAGGCCCTCACCAACCACCACTACCACCCCTTTGACTCAACCTTAGCAGGAGTTAGTATCTTGTTTGTTGTAATTTCATATTCCTATTTTGTATGGTTGTAATTTCCTATTTGATTTCCATAATAATATTCGTGTTGAATTCACTTAGGATGCATGATCCCGTATAATTTGTAAACTCATTCAATCTAAGATCGACCTTGTGAAAGAGGTGAAGGGAAGCTGAGGATTTTTTATAGAGAGAGAGAGTTAGATAAAGCTAGAGTTAGATCCCTCCTTTTCTCTCCTTTTACTTTCTATTTATACACTATAGAGTATATGTGCCCGCGTAGAAGTCTAAAGAATAAATAAAAAAGTTACGTTATATGCTTTATTGTACAAAGCCTCAGCAAACTTTTCGTTGACAAGATCCTTGGTGTGGGCGCCAGGCAGCCAATAAATAGTTACATACATGATGATGGATTGAAATTCTCTTTCTTCTATATTAAAGAACTATCACTGAGCTCAATGATGTAGCCAAGCAACTATTGACGTGCTTGATAGGAAGATTTAGTACATGAGAGTTTGGAAGAACTCAAGAAATGTGAGCGAGCTTAAGGAGAAAGCTTGTCTAGAGGAGCTTGTCTGAAGGCTTAAGCTTAGAGAGCTCGATCGAAGGAACTCGTGTGAATGCTAACGAGCTTTGGAGGTACTCGAGTGGCTCTTTTGGACGATAAAAAAATCCTATAGCTTGTCACTTTCAAAAGTGCGCCTAGCGAGTACATTTGGCCTGGTCAGTGTCAGACCATTAAGTACATGGTTGGTGGCTCAATCTCTTTGACCCATGAGTCTCATTTTGTTTTTGTTTTTTCTGTTGCTTAAAGAAACTCATTTTTGGATATGCAATTTATTTTTTCTGTTGTTGGTTAACTTTGGTATATATAAAGTATTATAGGAAGCTAAAAATTGACAAGAGTCATAGTTGTGAATTATAAATTTATTCTGACTTAAACTGAACATTTATGAACAAGGACTGCAACATACAACAGTTCTTGTAACTTATTTTTGTATTTGTTTTGTTCTTCTCAATTATGGATTAAGCCTTGCTGTTAGCTTTAAACGCGGTTATTCCCTTGGATTCTCTTCAAAGAAAGCCTTTTAATTCAAACACAAACATAGAAACACAATTAAAGGACTTCACTAGATAAAATCCCTGGATAAAGATGTCAAATTTCTGAAAAAATAGTGCAATTTCCAGGGCTTTCCTGACACATAGCCACGAATAGCCTGATCCATATGCCCTTCAAGTTAGAAAACCATCTGGGAATAGAGCAGAGAACAATCCAATAAAAAAGAAAAAGGTGGGGCGGAGGGGAAACGAACCTTAGGGGAAGAGGGCGATGGATAAAAGGCAGTAACAAAAATAGTAGGGACTGATGTCGAAGTTATCGCCAATCAAGGTGTGATCGCGCGGTGTTAGAAGCTGGAAAGAAGCTGGAAAGAAGAGGAATTCAGACAAGACTTTGAGGAAGAACGTTAAATTTATTTTCTTCCACATTATGTCCAGCAAACAAAATGGGAAAGTTTTTCACTCGGCTCCCTCTAGTCTGTTAAATTTGCTAAACAATGGAATTTAGTAAACCCCAAATTTATGGCGAAATGGAGTAATTGAAGGATTCAGGGCACCATAGGATTTACGCTGAATTCTGGGTAAATGCTGCTGCCAAATGGTTGCTGGCTGAGATGACTGAGAGTTTTTTTCCAAATTCCCCTCCCCTTCTCACTTCTCTTTCTATTTCACCCCTTCGCCCTCTCCAGGTATTACCGAAGACTGTTGTTACAGACACCATGCTTTAGACCTAGGTTATTTTTTCTTCCTCCTCCAATAAGAGTTTATACTATTGCTATTTCTCATATTTTACTCCAACCTTAGGTTTGGGAACTCAAATACATGTGTTTTTCAGTATAAAATAGTATGAAATAGCTTTTGTTCATTTTCAAGGGCTGTTTGGGTACAACTAGGATTTATGAAATCCTATAAATACGGATTTAAAAAATTATGTTAAATATTTTTGTAGAATTGAGATATTTGTTTTGGACTAAATATTTGTTTTAGAATTATGAGAATCACCTTTATCTAATATAAAATATAAGATCCAACTTCATAGACCATTTCAACTACGAAGGTACTTTAAGTTGGTTCAAATTGATGGCCTAATCAGTGGCAGTGAGTAACGATTGACCATCATAAAACTAGTGGGTGTTTTCCAGCAATGAATGCTATAGAATTATAATAAGCTAGCGAGACTTTTGTCTGTTGGGTTTTGTAACTAATTCAATTTGACATTGTGATAGAATTTATTTAGGAAATTGCATTAATATCTGCAATAGTTGAATTCAGTTAGTGTCATACGTGCCAGTTATTATTGTTAGAAACATGAATGCAAGTAATTGAAAACACAATAAATAAAGCTTGAGAGCTGACATGGTAGCTCAGAGGATCCTGTTATTTCATTTTCTTTCTAGGACGATTTACATACATTCCACTCAATTCTTATGTATTTACATATGTAACCCCTAAACTTCAACTTTTACATATACGTTACCTTACCTATGCATGAAAAGCTTTATTTCACACTTACACTACCTTACCTATGCATGAAAAGCTTTATTTCACACTTTAGAAGTTAAAATAGTGGTACTTTTGATGTGATATAAAAGCTTTGGGTAGTATAAATGTAAAAAGCAAAGTCTAGGTGTCAGATATGTAAATACATAGGATTTGTGTGGTATGTATGTAAATGCTCATTTTTTCTATTCTTATCTTCTTTAAAGGCATTTTTTTTTATTTGTTGGAGTGTGGCTACTCAAAGCATCTGAGCTCTCAGGTACTCTTCATGTTCATACCCATATATTAGGCATCCACAAAATCGTAGTGACTTTTTTATCTACAACTCAATTTAAATTTTTTTAATGATTTTAGTACTGAAAAATATTCACGAGGGATATGAAGAAAACTTTAAAGGCTTGTTATTTGATTATTATTTAGTAGTCTAATCAACCCTGGTTCGTGAATCAACATCATAAATATGTTGTAATTTAGAACTTTTGCATGATCTTTTTTCTATTGTCATCATAAAAGTTTTTGAACTTTGTACTTCTTTCGTTATATTAGACAGTTTTTTGGCTCAATTTCAGATGCATTTGTTGTCTTTTTTGTAGAATTTTTTTTTACCTATTGTTGCTCTTGATAAATTAATCGGCTGACTTCTGGTATTTTTTTTGTTCAAACATTCTTTATTAGGTTGTCTCCAATTTTATTTTGATTGAATGGCAAATAGTAAATATGAGTACGTGAAAAAGTTCGAAATGGATGATAAGCTGCCAGCGTGCAATTGGATTATTGTAAGAATTGATGGCCACAAATTTCATCAGTGAGCATTTCTTTAACTAAAACTAGTTTATGTTGTCGCTGCCAGTAGCACAATAATTTGTCCTTATTCAGCAATTCAGTCATTTTAGTCTATTATTTTCTTGCTTTCTGGTTCTTTGGAAAGCTATCTTTTAATTTTTAAACTTTAAATAACCATCTGTAGATTGATAGCAGTGTTGCTTTAGTGTTTTTGTGCTGATGGTTCATCCTTTGTGTTTGGTTATGCAAAATAGCTTAGTATAAACCTTATAAATCAATAACATTTAGCTTTGGGCAAAATGGCAAAAAAAATTCTTTATATATCATTATGGCTTTTTATCGTAGTATTTACGGTTGTGTTTAAGTGCTCACATAATTTTATTCCATCAAGGGTTGTAAAAAGGGTGCACAATATTCTATTTTTCTATATATTTAATATTTTTTTTGATGTTTGGTTTAAAGTAAATGGAATACAATGCAAAATTTGGGGGAAATATAAATACCCCAAAAAACTTACTTTCAACATATTTTAAAATTGTGCACATTGGGCAAATTAAAAAATTCTGCAAAATTCCCCATTTGGTCTAGTTATGCCCAGTCTTTCTTACGATTGTCCTCTGGTTGCAATCCTCTTCGATGCTTGTCTCAAGTTTCCAATGCTTCTATGCCCACCTCAAGTCTCAAAGTCTTTCAGCTTTGCACTAAACACATGTCAACACCTTTGTTTCTACCTAGCTCAATTGCTCAACACTATCCTAGGGTCTGTTTGGGGCAACTGCAGTTTATCTGGCTTATTCAGATAAGTAGCTTATCCTGATAATCTGCTGATCAGCAGCTTATCCTGATAAGCTGACTAGCTGTTTGGTCAATGCGTTTCAAAAACAGCTGATTCTGGATAAATGATCATTTTGACCTTGTTCTGGATAAACTGTTTAGTTGTTTGGATTGTGCGTTTGGAAAACAGCTGATTTGAAGCTTTTTGTGGATAAAAGACCATTCTGACAGACGCTGTGCTGTTTTTTATAATAGAACTTTAACGGCTAAACATTTGACAGTTTAGAAAAATCATTTCATAACAGTACAAAATTATGATAATTTCAATAATTTTATTTAATTATGAAAAAAAAGCCAAATTTGTTCTTAAAAAATCCAGAAGAATTAAGGCTTACAAAAAATGTCTTAGGGCATTTACATACATACAAGACAAATTTTACATATTTACATATCTAACATCTATAAATAACAATTCAGACAAATCTTACATATTTATACATCTAAGAGTACAGACAAATCTTACATATTTACCTAAATTTTGATGCACACTTCACTTAAAATTGAGTACCAATATACCTAATTAAAACCAAAAAGCATATTGAAATTACAATTAATAATAAGATTATAACATTCATTTTAAAATCTAAAAAAACATGTCATGAACATCATTGTTCGGTTGGTGCACGATCGAACACCGAACATCATTATCCGGTCGAGAAACAATCAATCGAACCACAAGTGGTGTTCTCGGATTGTGATATCGTCGAATCCCGTGCAACGTTGTCTGATTGGGATAACGTTGATTCTGATGAAATGTTTGCTCACCTGAAGAAGCTGCAGTTGTCAGGTTCGTTTCTCCACCGTAGGCACCTATAAAACTGTTGTTCGTAGCTATGTTGTCAGCTTGATGTGAGTAACAAGCACGACAGCCCGCAACCGCACATCACTTGCCCGGACTTCCCTGAATACTTTCAACTCCTTGTCCTGCAATTATTAAAAAGAGAATATATCAATAAAAAAATAGAGAAAATAAATAAAATGTACTTGTCAAATCTTCTTGGGCATATCATCATTGCCGCTGTCGGAGTAAAAATTTGGACAGATCTGAAGACAACAACTATGAAGTCTATCAAAACATTAATCAAGTACTTCTCAAACTACCAAAGTGTGAAAGCAGCGGTTGTTATATGAAAAATACCACAACTTCATTTTTAAAGTAAAATCAACTTCTCATGCACAGCTTTATGACACTAAAGTGTTCTAAATGTAAATATGAAAGTTTAGTTGTTAGATATGTAAATAAATAAAAATAGCGTGGATTTCGGAGTACTCTTCAATTAAGCACATGTTGACTCCATTATGTTTAGAATTTGATCAAGTTTCTTTAAAAAAAAAAGGAGCGGTGGCACATTTGAGCACATGAATAGAAAAGAGAAACAACCGAGTATTAACAACTAATCCCTCAATAGAAATCTAGATGACCCATTCCCAAGAAAAATAACAAAAGAAGATAAAGTGACAAAAGCCAAAAATATGAGAAATATTCAAATATCATATGCAAGATAATTTTCAGGCCATCACAGCAATTTTACATAGTGTATTTTTTCATTTGTATAGTTTATTTTTTCATTCAACTGATTTGTTGAATGGATGTCATTCAATTTATACTGCATCCCTCAATTCCAAGAAAATCTGAGACCACTGGTTTCTGTGTATTGCTACTATTATATATGGTGATATAAAGTATGGTTCGTTTTACAAAACTAGTTGAAAAGGAAAGAAATGTGAAAATGTCGCAGTGAAGGCTACAAAAGTAGAACTAATTTGCAACAATGCAATATTAAAATATTGAAAAATAGAGAAAAGAAATCAAATGCAACAATGAAGGTCGCGAGATTGCGGTACTGCAGCAACGAAAGCTACAATGATGAAATACAAAGAAGTGAAAAACTTTACAACTCCAATACTATGCTAAGAATTTGAGAGAATCGAGTATTTCATTCCAGCATTTGTGAAATATTTATTCAATGCTAGAAAGCTGCTTAAGAAACATACAAAACCAAAGAGTAATAATTGCATAATAATCATAATGGTTTAAAGAATTAGAAGAATTATAATTATAAAAATTAGACGAATTATAATTATTATCCTGTCACGAATGACACTATTATTGACCATTGAAAACAAATACTAATAGGTTAAGAAAAGTGAGCCAACCTAGAGGTGAGTGAGGGAAGCGCTGCCTGCTGTTTTTTGTTGTATAGGCAAAAAGACAGCTGTCATGGGCACTTTCTTCCCATTCGGCCATCACAAATGTGAAGCAATGTTGAGGTCACATATAGACATCACATTTTGGGTAGGTGAACCACACCGACCAATGTACGCCACTTTTTTCATGGTTAGGGAGTCAGTCATCCACGTGTGTACCGTCAATTGCTCTAATGCAGTCCTGTTTTGATGTGTTAGTGATCTAAATGTCAACACAATACTTACATTCAGAAATAAACATAATGCACTAAAGAAACTAGCCTTAAAAAATGACATGTAATGCAGGTCATCAACAATTTTTTCGGGAGTTGTACTGAATGACGGATCTTCTGGCTTAATTATGTGGGAAGCTAGGCTAATTAGTGTTTTTAAACCTTCAGATAAGTATCAATATTTTGTCTCCGAGAGATGTTGAAATCGCTCTATGACTCATCTGATTAATTCGTTTTGAGATAAAATGTACAATGCAATTGCCAAGACCTTCCTTCTAGTCGTTCTGGCCGAACCTCTGAGGCCATGGTTGCTGCATAGCTCATGCAGAAGATCCAAAAAAATGGGTACACTTATGCGAAATATGTTGCCAAACCTTATGAGATGTCCATCATGCATCTCGCCCACCCATTTATCCCCAATAAAGAATGACGTCATGCGAAGTGTTCTAATAGGGACAAAACGGTAGTATC